AATGAATGTGTTTTGTTGTGTTCTCATTTTGAAGATTTTATGTAAATTATGGAATATGTAGAGTCATCTCCTTGGGATGCTATTTGGAGTTTATGTGGTGGGAAGATTTTTCATTACAAATGCATTTGCTTTTCATAAATATAGGAAAAAACCCCTTAGAATTAGTTTGTGCCAGCTTTTCTAAGCTTTTGTTTCCTAGGAGATTGTTCCAATATATGTCCAAATTCATTTGTATGACTATCTGGACTGTCATTTCTCTTTAATGACTCTGTAGTGAATATTCTATAGTGTAGAATCTGTAGTTATATACTTTTTGATGTTTAACATCTTTGTCAAAAATAAAATGACAATATATGTATGTATGTTTATTTCTGGACTCTTTTCTATTGGTGTATTGGCCTATTTTTCTATACTGTATTGATTACTATAGCTTTATATATCTTTAAGTCAGATTTCCCAATGCTCTTTCTCAAAGCTGTTTTAGCTATCCTATACCTTTGCATGTAGATATAATTTTTAGAATCAGTTTTTCAATTCATACAGAAAAATCTGCTGAGATTTTGGTGGAGGTTGTATTAAACCTACAGAAGCACTCGGGTGAACTGACATCTTAGTAATACTGAGTCTTCTATTCTATGAATATAGTGTATTTCTCCATTTGTTTTTGTCTTTAATTTCCATCAGCCATGTTTTGTAGCTTTCTGTACATAGATATTTGGCCAAATTTATCACTAAATATTTTCTACTTTGAAGCAATTATTAGCAGTGTTGTTTATTAATAATTTCAATTTTGATTTTTTTTCAAGTGTAGAGAGAACTGATTTTTGTATATTGATGTTATATTTCACACTTACTAAATACACTTATTGTTCTAGTGGTTTTGAAAAATTTTATTTGAGAGGGAGGGAGGAAGAAAGAGAAAGAGAGGGAGAGAGAGAAATGTACTCCTATTGTCCCATTGACTGGTTCACTCCCCCAAATACCTGCATTGACTGGAATTGGTTCTGCCTGAAGCCCAGAGCTGGAACTCAATCCATGCTTAACCCAACCCAATAATTTGCATCATCAATGCTGTCTTGGAAAATATGCATTAGCAGAAAACTGAGTCACAATTAGAAGCTGGGATTCAAAGCCAGGTACTCTGGTGTGGGACACTAGCATCTTAACCACTTACCTAAGTGCCTACACCAATCCTAGTAGTTTTACAACAGATTCCAGAGGATTTTCCACATAGACAATCATACAGTCTCCAAATAAAGATGGATTTGTTTCTCCCTTTCCATTTTGGAGGCCTGAATTTTTTTCTTGCCTTCTTTCTTTCTTTTTTCTTTTTTTGACAGGCAGAGTGGACAGTGAGAGAGAGAGACAGAGAGAAAGGTCTTCCTTTGCCATTGGTTCACTACTCTCCAATGGCCACCGTGGCTGGCGTGCTGCCGCCGGCGCACTGTGTTGATCCGATGGCAGGAGCCGGGTGCTTCTCCTGGTCTCCCATGGGGTGCAGGGCCCAAGCACCTGGGCCATCCTCCACTGCACTCCCTGGCCACAGCAGAGAGCTGGCCTGGAAGAGGGGCAACCGGGACAGAATCCAGTGCCCCAACCGGGACTAGAACCCGGTGTGCCGGCGCCGCAAGGTGGAGGATTAGCCTAGTGAGCCACGGCGCCGGCCCTTGCCTTATTTCTTTAGCCACAGCTTCCAGTGTAGTGTTAAAGAGATGTGATGAGTGGAGACATCATTGTGTTGTCCCTCAATTTGAATGGAAACATTCATTCTTCAATATTTTACTATTAACAACCCAGCATACAAATCCTCATTTCACTTTTTTTTATACTTAATTTTTCTGACCCAAAAAATATAAACTGTTTATTTATGTCCTTTACATATCTGATAAATTCTTTAGCCAGGAATTAGTGCAGAAAAATGTCCCTGATGGCAAGATATAGCTTGTCAGAGAGTATATGCATCACTGCTAGATAGTCCTTGATAATGACATCATTGATGACTGATTTCTAACTCTTCACTTTTCTTCTTCAGTGATGAGTCAGTGCTTCAAAAAGTGGAGGAAGAGATATAAAGACTCAGCAAAAGTTCCGTTCTGGTGTTCCAAAGTTGGATGTAGCCAATCGCTGTCATTTATGACAGGAAGAAATGAGCAAAATAGATATCCGACTTTACTCTCCTCCTAAATGCTGACCTTCTATAGCCTTGTCTTTGGCCAAACAACCCTGAAGTCAGAGGTCAGGGTATATATTTGTGAAATTTGTAAGACTGGGTCTCACAGGTCATAGAATAAATTTTCTGGAGGGTCAGATCATTGGTCTGTTTTTGGCCCTGTTGCATAGTTGGCCAACCCCAACCATTAAGACTCACTGGCAGGATTTTGATAGAGCAGAGTCCCACTCAACTGCCCCGTTTCCTTCATCTCCCCACCTTTGTCTTGTCTCTCATTGCTTTCCTTTTCCTTTTTATTTTCTTGTGTTCTTTTCCTTTCTCCCTCCCTACTTGCTTTCCTCTTCCGATTCAGATTAAATTTACTTACAGTGTTGCTCATATTGTGGCAAGTAGTGTCAATTTCTTGCAAGCATGTTCTTCGTAAATTTGGCACTAATTTTCATATTGTTTTGTGGTATTGTTTTCCCTTGTAAATATTTGTAGTATTTTGTGGTTTCAGTTAGCCTAAAGCAATTAATATATTTGCTATGAACATAGAGGCAATTTTTTTGGTAAGGGTTGTTATCCCAGTAATGGTTCATTACATGAAGAAAAAAGAATAAAATGAAATTTGGGCTTTAGGATACTTTGAAGAAGTTAATCTGAGTTAATACATAGGCAAGAAAGACACAGAGTGATTTTGTAACAAATAATTTACATTTGTGAATTTATGATCTTTTTTTAACTTTTATTTAATGAATATAAATTTCCAAAGTACAGAATATTGATTACAATGGCTTCTTTTTTTTTTTTCTTTCTTTTTTTTTTTTTTTGACAGGCAGAGTGGACAGTGAGAGAGAGAGACAGAGAGAAAGGTCTTCCTTTGCCGTTGGTTCACCCTCCAATGGCCGCTGCGGCCGGCGCGCTGCGGCCGGCACACCGCGCTGATCCGATGGCAGGAGCCAGGAGCCAGGTGCTTTTCCTGGTCTCCCATGGGGTGCAGGGCCCAAGCACCTGGGCCATCCTCCACTGCACTCCCTGGCCACAGCAGAGGGCTGGCCTGGAAGAGGGGCAACCGGGACAGAATCCGGCGCCCCGACCGGGACTAGAACCCGGTGTGCCGGCGCCGCCAGGCGGAGGATTAGCCTAGTGAGCCGCGGCGCCGGCCTACAATGGCTTCTTTAGCATTGTCTTTTACAAATTTAACTTGGTTGTTTTGATTAATGTTACTTTTAAAATTGATAAATCAAAATTAAACTGTATACATATTTTTTATTTATTTATTTTTTTAAACTTTTATTTAATGAATATAAATTTCCAAAGTACGATTTATGCATTACAATGGCTTCCCCCACATACCGTCCCTCCCACCCACTACCCTCCCCTTTCCCACTCCCTCTCCCCTTCCATTCACATCAAGATTCATTTTCGATTATCTTAATATACAGAAGATCAGCTTAGTATACATTAAGTAAGGATTTCAACAGTTTGCTCTCACACAGAAACATAAAGTGAAAAATAATAGATGATTTTTTTTAAATGATGATGAAATCAGATCAGACCCATTGTCATGTTTAATCCCAGTGAGAGTCAAGTTGGGAGTTGATAATTTCTTTTTTTTTTTTTTTACAGAGGATCAGTTTAGTATACATTAAGTAAAGATTTCAACAGTTTGCACCCCCATAGAAACACAAAGCGAAATATATTGTTTGAGTACTCGTTATAGCATTAAATCTCAATGCACAGCACATTAAGGACAGAGATCCTACATGAGGAGTAAGTGCACAGTGACTCCTGTTGTTGACTTTACCAATTGACACTCCTGTCTATGGCATCAGTAATCTCCCTATGCTCCAGTCATGAGTTTCCAAGGCTATGGAAGCCCTCTGAGTTCTCCGATTCTTATCTTGTTTAGACAAGGTCATAGTCAAAGTGGAGGTTCTCTCCTCCCTTCAGAGAAAGGTACCTCCTTCTTTGAAGACCTGTTCTTTCCACTGGGATCTCACTCACAGAGATCTTTTGCCAGAGTGTCTTGGCTTTCCATGCCTGAAATACTCTCATGGGCTTTTCAGCCAGATCCGAATGCCTTTAGGGCTGATTCTGAGACCAGAGTGCTATTTAGGACATCTGCCATTCTATGAGTCTGCTGAGTATCTCACTTCCCATGTTGGATCACTCTCCCCTTTATTTATTCTATCGGTTAGTGTTAGCAGGTACTAGACTTGTTTATGTGCTCCCTTTGACTCTTAGTCCTTTCATTATGATCAATTGTGAACTGAAATTGATCACTTGGACTAGTGAGATGGCATTGGTACATGCCACCTTGATGGGATTGAATTGGAATCTCCTGGTATGTTTTTAACTCTACCATTTGGGGCAAGTCAGCTTGAGCATGTCCCAAATTATACATCTCTTCCCTCTCTTATTCCCACTCTTATGTTTAACAGGGATCACATTTCAGTTAATTTTTAACACTTAAGAATAACTGTGTATTAATTACAGAATTAAACCAGTCATATTAAGTAGAACAGACAAAAAATTTTTTTGTTAAAGATTTATTTATTTTACTTGAAAGTCAGAGTTACACAGAGAGAGAATGAGAGACAGAGAGAGAGAGAAAGGTCTTCCATCTGCTGGTTTACTCCCCAATTCGCCACAATGGCTGGAGCTGCGCTGATCTGAAGCCAGGAGCTAGGAGCCAGGAGTTTCTTCTAGGTCTCCAACATGGGCGCTGGGGCCCAAGGGCCTCGAATCTGTGCCCATATGGGATGCCGGCACTGCAGGTGGCGGCTTTACCTGTTGTACCACAGTGCTGGCCCCAAACTGTGTATATTTATGGCATATCATTCTCTTACTTCTTTGAGGGTAATGCAGTTCTTTTGAATGCATCCTTGAACGCTTGTCTCACTTGCTGGTTTCTCAGAGTGTAAATGAATGGGTTCAACATGGGAGCAATGGACGTCATCAGCACTGTCACCCCCTTGTTGATAGCTACAGATTCTTTTGCTGAAGGTTTGACGTAGATGAAGATGCAGCTTCCATAGGTGATGGAAACCACAATCATGTGAGAAGAGCAGGTGGAAAAGGCCCTTTTCCTTTGCTGGGCAGAAGGGAATCTCAGAATGGTCTTGATGATGTATACATAGGACAGAACCACACACAGGAGGGTGGTGATGAAGGCTAACACAGCACAGGTCATTACCATCTGTTCCAAAAGCCATGTGTCTGAGCATGAAATCTTCATGATAGGGGATGAATCACAGAAGAAATAATCAATGACATTCGAGTCACAGAATTGTAGACCTAGTATCATGATCAGTGGTGGGAGTATGATCAACACACCAACTGTCCAGCAGCAGAAGACAAGCTTTCCACAGACTTTGTAGCTCATGATTGTCACGTAGTGCAGGGGTTTGCAGATGGCCACGTAGCGGTCATAGGACATGGTGGCCAGGAGAAAAAATTCAGTTACTCCAAACACATCAATAAAGAACACTTGAATGACACAAACATTGTAAGTAATTGACCTGTCACCTGTTGCTATGTTGTATAAATATCTAGGAATACAAGCAGATGTAAACAAAATTTCTAATAAAGCAAAATTCTGTAAGAAAAAGTACATGGGTGTCTTCAGGTGGGAATCTAATAAGGTGAGGAATAGGATGGTCAGATTCCCAGTTACACTCAGTATGTAAGTGAGAAAGAGAAACACAAACACTGGAGCCTGAAGCTGAGGATCATCCGTCAGTCCCAGCAGAATGAAGGTTGTTATTGTCTTGTTTTTCATCATTGACTCCAAGTTTGTTTCATGTTTTCAGGAAGAATTTGGAGAGATTTGAGGTGAATGGCGTGGTATCTATAGCAAGTATTGCTAGTGTCCTCTCTTGTTAGGGTACTGAGAGTTGCAAAAGACTGTGGCTTTCACTTCAGCAACCAAACCAAACCAAACCAAAATAACCAAAAAAATCACAGATTTAGAAAGTTATGTCAGAGATCTGAGGATCTGAAGAAACCCACGTGACAGAAACTGAGTAAAGAAAGAAGTCATTTATGGGAAAAAGTGACACTCAGTTGTTCTCACCTGTGACAGAGGGGATGGAGGTGGAAGAATTTGCAATAGCTTAGAATAAAAATAAATGACCAAAGCCATTAATGCACTTTTAGCAGCTGGGGCTTTTGTGAGAGTTGTTCAGAGATTTCTTCAATCAGAATCAGTTTTCACTTTCTTTCCCATAGGTTTTCACCAGGCACTGAGGGGCGTTTTTCAAAGCCTGGGAGAGGGTGCAAGTTTGAGTCATACATTCTCTGAATATTTCCAAGCTTTCCAAAGCAGAAGGAAGAATTGAGAGAAACCCCTCCAAGACATTCCAAATGTACGCAGAGCACAGCAGAGACAACTTCCAAACTTTTGGGGGCAGTTCAGCATGGCAGGAAAATATATAGGGCTCAGACATTTGGGAACAGACCAGCAGAGAACTGACCCATAGGAGGAAAATGGAATTGCGTCCTTATAATGCTGAAAGGGATGACCACGGCAGTAACCACAACTGTCAATCTGAGCTTCTGTCCTCAGCAAACATCTGCTGAAGTGAAGAAAAAGGTAAGATGTTTTTGTACAGAAAAGATGAGACAAACTATTTCCAGCAGAGCTCCTCACGCTGGAAATGTCTAATACCAATTAGGATGGAGATGTGCAGGAAGAAAGGGCACCCAAAAGACCTGTGTAAAACACTGATGGAAGAAACAAGAGGGTATGAATTAGTTGAAAGATCTACCATGCTCAAAGATCAGAAGAATTAATATGGTTAAAATGTCTCTACTACCTGAAGCAACATATAGATTCAGTTCAATCCCTATCAAAATCCCCATAGCATTCTTCCCAGAAAGAGAAAAATTTATATGAAACCACAATAGACCCCAAAGGGTCAAAGCAAATATGAAAAAAATGTTTGGTGCCATCACACTTCCAGATTTCATGTTTATGTGTATCTTATAATCTTTTTATTTATTTATTTATTTATTTATTTTTGACAGGCAGAGTGGACAGTGAGAGAGAGACAGAGAGAAAGGTCTTCCTTTGCCGTTGGTTCACCCTCCAATGGCCGCCGCGGCCGGCGCGCTGCGGCCGGCGCACCGCGCTGATCCGATGGCAGGAGCCAGGAGCCAGGTGCTTTTCCTGGTCTCCCATGGGGTGCAGGGCCCAAGCACCTGGGCCATCCTCCACTGCACTCCCTGGCCACAGCAGAGAGCTGGCCTGGAAGAGGGGCAACCGGGACAGAATCCGGCGCCCCGACCGGGACTAGAACCCAGGGTGCCGGCGCCGCTAGGCGGAGGATTAGCCTAGTGAGCTGCGGCGCCGGCCTATCTTATAATCTTTTAATATCATGTTGTATACCTGAAATATACACAATAAAAATATTAAAACATACTTCCAACCTAACAAGAATAAATCAAGTGGAACATGTACAAAGCCCATAAATTCTAGTTGCAGAAATGAGTGGAGCTAAATAGACACATTTACCAGGTTTATGACATAATGGATATTGCTGACATGTTAGCTTTCTCCACATTGTCTGATGCAATGCATGTAATCTTAGTACAAAATACAGCAGAGGTTTTTGAAGTAGTTGACAAGATAGTTCTAAAATTTTGTAAGAAAATGGCACCTATATAAGTATTAGATCAAAACTGAACAGTACTGATTAAATAACCTATTCAACCTTATTTTTAGACTTGATATAAGACATAGTGAATGAGCCCCAATGGTATCTGTGTAAGGATGGAAAACAGATAAAGGAGACATCATAGAGACTCCATATTTGGGTTCACACGAATGTGGTCAATTCATTTCTTTAAGGTTCCCAGCCAAGTAAATGGGAGAAGGAAAAGAAAAAAGGATTTTGAATCCATAGTAGTAGAAATTTCCACATGGAGAAAACACCTGAAAACCTCATTCACATTCCATTTCCAAAAATAATTTCAGAAGAATACATTTTTCTCTTTCTGGGAAGAATGCTACAGGGATTTTGATAGACATGGAACAAGAAAATTTCCATTAGAAACAAAGGAGAAAATCTGCATTGTCCTGCAAAGACTTCTTGCAGGGCAAAAAAGTAACAACTATAAAAATACTTACAAATTAGTAAAATGTAATTATAAATATGTACTCCACATACATAAATAATTATAAATATGTTGCTGCCTGCTACACCAGCTTCTTGTACAAGTGCTAGTTTTAGTCTCATATGCTCTACTTCTGACCTAACTTCCTGCGAATGTGCCTGGGAATGCAGAGAAAGATGGCTCAAGTGCTTGGACCCCTGCTATCCATGTGGGAGACCTGGATGTAGCTGCTGGCTCTTGAATTTGCCCAGGCCCAGCCCAAGCTGCTGTGGCCATTTGGGGAGTGAACCAGTGAGTGGAAGACATTCTCTCTCTCTCTTTCTCTTTATGTAACTCTGAATTTCAAACAAATAAATAAATCTTAAAATTACGTATTTCACAAAATTCACCATTAATGCAATAAATAGTAAAGTCAGCCTTGGAAAATATATGAAGCAAGTGCTGGCACTGTAGCATAGCAGGTAAAGCCATTGCCTGCAATGCCAGCATCCCATGGGTACCTGTTTGAGTCCTGGCTGCTCGGTTTCCAATCCAGCTCCCTGCTAATGGGCTGGAAAAGCAGCAAAAGATAGCCAGAGTGTTTGGGCCCCTGCCACGTATGTGGGAGACCTGAATGAAGCTCTTGGCTCCTGACTTTGTCCTGGCTCAGCCCTGGCTGTTGCAACCTTCTGTGGGAATGAACCAGTAGATAGAAGATCTCTGTTTCTCTCTGTCTCTCCCTCTCTCTGTGTTAACTCTCTCAAATAAAACAATTAAGTCTTTAAAAATATCCGAGGCATGTATTTTTGACAAGGTACTTACGTATAGAATATGTAAATGACTTATGAAAATAAAATATTGAAGAGCATTTAGTGAAAATGGGCAAAAGACTTGGGCATTTCACTGTGGATGACGTACAAATGAGTCATTAACACATGAAACGTTGTTGATATCATGTTATGAGAGAAACAAAAAATCACAATGAAATCTTCTCTCCCACCTGCTAGGATGGCTCCAATTGAAAAGACTAACAATGTTAATTGGTTGAAGATGATTAATTAATTATTAATAATTAAAAATAATTAATGTTACTTAATCTTAACCAATTAACTAACAATGTTATTTATCATTCTCATCTGTATTTCTCATAAGAATAGAAATGGTACAACTAGTTTTGGAAGTCTTTTAACAATATTTTATAAAATTAAACATCTGTCATAGAATCAAGAAATTTTCTCTCTCCATTTGTAGAGTTAGAAATAAAAACAGTTGTCTACAAAAGACTCATACAATAATATTCACAACAATATTATTCTTAATAACTCCAAACTGGAAATAACTCCCCATTAAACAGCTGCCATACTCACCAATCCACTGTGTGTGATGTCCAGAAGTCACCACAAACCACCTGTATTGGCTCTACCTTCTTTCTGTTCTACTTAGAAACTCCCAGATCATGATCTGGTAAAATCCTCAGTCCTGAATGGTGTGGGCAATATCTGTTGCCCCAACTGTTTTCTCCAATCACTAATACTCTCTTTTCTCTTCTCTTCTCTTCTATACTTTTCTTTTTTTAAAGGTTTATTTATTTATTTGAAAGAGTTACACAGAGAGAAGGAGAGGCAGAGAGAGAGAGAGAGAAAGAGAGAGAGAGAGACAGAGAGGTCTTCCATATGCTGGTTCACTCCCCAATTAGCTGCAACAGCCGGAGCTGTGCTGACCTGAAGCCAGGAGCCAGCAGCTTCTTCTGGTCTCCCATGTGGGTGTAGTGGCCCAAGGACTTGGGTCATAGCAAAGAGCTGGATCAGAAGTGGATCAACTGGGACTTGAACTGGCACCCATATGGGATGCCAGTACTGTAGGTGCTGGCTTTACTCGCTATGCCACAGCATTGGCCCCATCCTTTATTTTCAAAGTTATTAAGAGACAATGTGTGGAATAATAACTGACCCTAAACCGTGACTGACTGAATCACATTCATTCTATTGGTTACTGAGATTTTTGGGTTTTGAGTTCATGGGTCATTATATAAACTGAAGGTAGGAATACGTCATTATATAAAATATGGAACATAAATGTACAAAAATAGTATATATATAATATATATGTATAACATATAGAGATGGTTCCCACCTTAGGATAATTCTACTTATGATTTTTGGACTTTACAGTACTGTAAAAACCATACACATTCAGAAGAAACTGTATTTAAAATTTTGAATTTTAATCTTTTCCTGGGTTAGCAATATGAAACTACTTACTGCTCACAGGAGCTGTACCCAATAACTCCCAGCCAGCCACATGTTCAGGAAGGCCAACAACCCATTCTCTTCAGTGCACTGTGTTATTAACCTACAGTGTTCTGTAGGTAAGGTGTTTTGAATGTATTTTTGGTTTATGATATTTTCAATTTATAATATGTCTATCAGGAGTTACCACCATCTTCCTAGGTCTTTTTTTGGGGTGAACTATGCACACATCTCACCCACTCTTGATGAAAACATTACAACCAGTAAAGAGTTTATGGCTCTTTTACAGATATTTAAGAAGTTTTCTCATCATCAATCTTGGTAAAAAATTGAATTTGCTACTCAGATGGAACTGTCATCTGAAAATAAGTGAGATCTCAAACATCATCCAACATCGTACTTACTTTTCTGAGCATCATCATTGCTTATTTTGCTTGAG